GTTCTCTGTCCAAACGCTTTCCATCAGCTGGAATTAACACAATCGCTTTGGAGAAAGGTCTAGATTTGCTTCTGGAAGGTCACAGCTATGACAAAGCCCCGTGGAGCACAGCTCTCCTCTGAGCCAGGTGGGGTTGCTCTGAGCCAGACTAGCTTATAGTGGCTGCCCTGGTTTCCCATGATCATCGGTAGAAGATCCACTGTCCCTAGGGTGGGAGATTGAAGGCAGGGTAGCAGAAAGTTATGAATGTGGATGTGCAGTGGTGGAGAGCAAGGACATACTGAAATCCACTAATATGCGCTCGAGTCCAGGAGGACAGATCAGAACCCCTGTTGGCTTCTCTGCATCAACACTCCACCTTCCATGGCGTTTGTCTCTTGAAGGAGAAACAAGTGCTCCTTGCCTGATGAATTGGCATACATCTAGCCCATGGATTGGGGAGTATAGAGGACCCCGTGAAAGGCAAAGCAGCTGAGGAGCCCCCGCCGTCCCACATCAAGAGGAGGCAGCAGATGGTGACAATACCCATGAGTTGCATCGACACCCTGGTGGCCCTGCATGACATTCTGAGTGTAAAAGACCACGGCTGTTCACTTCTGCTTTTCACATCTCAAGTAAACGTGTCTTATGACACACTCTACACTGTTTCGGCAAGAATGGTAGTCTCAGTGTATCTAAGCTGATTCTCTACAAATGGACCCCAAAGAGGTCAGAAGAAACCTTTAGGCCATGGAAGCAAAATGAAGGATTTGACTGTCACTATTGGAGTCATATGATCAGATAGTTGTTCTCATTAGATCACTCTGGGAGACAATAGGGAGTTACAAGTGCAGGAAAGTGTGAGAAACTAGTTAGGAATATATTGTGTGAGGCAACAATGTCTTTGCATAAGACAGTGACAGTGGAGACAGAAATATATATATATATATAATAAACACTTAATTTTATAGGGGGCTTTTGCAGCTCTTATCACAATCCATACATATATCCATTGAGTCAAATACATCTGTACATATGTTGTCATTATCTTTTTCAAAACATTTTCTTTCTACTTGAACCCTTAGTATCAGCTCCTCATTTTCCCCCTCCCTCCCCCACCCTCTCTCCCATGTCCCCTTGATAATTTATAAAGTCTTCTTTTTTTTTTCATGTCTTACACTGATCACAGTCTCCTTTCACGCACTTTTCTGCTGTCCATCCCCATGGGAGGGGGGCATATGTCGATTATTGTGCTCAGTTCCCCCTTCCAACCCCCTCTCCCTTCACTTCCCCTCCTAGTATCGCTGCTCCCCTTTCTGATCCTGAGGGGTTTAGACAGAATCCTATTTTAATGAACTAGGTTTTAGGCATTTGATTGAAAGATGAGTTAACCACAAATCCGAATGTTTTAACTGGAGTAACTGGCTGTGGACATGGTAGTATATTAAGAAAGATGAGAGAAACAGAAGGTTTGGGAGTTTGTGCCTAAAGGTATTGGTGTATTCAGGTATAAGTATAGATAATGCAGTGAACAGTGGCTTAAGTAAGTAAATGATGATAATATTAAATAAAAAGCAGTGACTTAAATAATTGGTCTCAAACAGCCAAAAGTCCTGGACAGAGTCCAGTGCTAATAGTTCAAGAGGTCCCAGCATCGTTCCACCTTTCTCCCAGGTTAGTAGCTACAGCTATGTTGTGAGATGTTGCCTCCTTGTTGCCAGAAGACTCCTGCATCTTTGTCCATCTTCTGAGCATGAAAAGGTGGGAAAAGGCCAAAGGTCAAAGTATGAAGTCACGAAGACACTCTCTTTTGAAGTTTTTTTCCTAAAAGTCCCACTACAACTTCTGCTTATCTCTTATTGGAAAGAATGGTGCCACATGACCACTACCTGGATGGTTGCTAAGGAGCAGGAGATACATGGCTAGGTCAGCCAGATGTCAGAGATATTAAATATGAGTTGGCAGAGAAAACGGCATGGACATGTCAAGTAACCAGCTGGATGAATGGGTTCTTGTCTTGGAAGTTAATTTCATATCTTTGCCTTGCTTGGCTCTGCCCAAGAGATTGAGATGTAGAATAGTCAGTTCTGGCGAGTGGGATGTTATATAGACCTGAAAAGCATGTTTCTGTGTGCATGTGTTTATATGCATGAAGAAAGTGTGGAATTTGAACGTGACCAAGGACAACACCTAACTCTGCCAGCTGGGTTCATGCAAAGAATGAGAATGTGCTGTGGAGATGTGGGAGATTCACATGTGGAAGTTCAAGAGTCTGTAATCAAACAGAGATCTTGCCTGCATTAGCTCGATTCTCAGTTCTCAGCTTCACATGAGACACAGAGGTAATATCTCGGGATTTTCTGCATAATGAAAAGCATCTAAGTAAAGATAATACATTTAATCAACTCATCATAGTTTAGCAGTTGCCTGCCCAAATTTTGCAAATTTTACAACATGTTTGATTTTGTAAAAAGTGTTATTGGGACATACACACTTGCATATCCTTTCTGCCTACATTTTTGCTAAAAATAGTAAAGCTGAGTAAAAAATAATAAAAAATAGTAAAGCCACAGAGAACATATGGCCCACAGAGCCTAAAATACTATCTGACCCTATACAGAAAAACAAACAAACACAACACAACGTTGGCTGACTTCCGGTGTAGAGCACATCCTCTGTCAATGCTAAAATCAGACGAATTAGCTGTAGAGTGTAGACAGCATAGTGGGTCAGCAGTTAAGCACGCAGCTGCTCCTCAGGAGAAAGATGAGGAGCATCTTCCTTTTTCTGTAAACAGTTACAGTCTAGGAACCTAAACAGGGTAGATCCATGCTGTCCTAGCGGGTCACAGTGAGTCACAATTGACCAACCATGAGTTACAGTTGACTAGCCATGAGTTTGAGTCTTGAGATAGACTTCACATAACACGTAAGGGATTAATAAGAATCTATTTGAAGCTAATACACACATTAGCTATTTCACTTACCCACTTGGTTTCTTTTCTTTGGGGACTTTGCCTTTCTTACTAGTCGTATAATCTGAATTAATTGTGAAATGTTCAGGTGCAGAGGGTTGTAACAGCATTATACTATCAGGGCATCGGCATGCTTTATTCAATACCATGGAGGAGGGCTTCCACACGCCGTAAGGTGAGAGAGCATTCAGACTTGATAATTGATACCATTGCCTAACTCTGATCAAGTACTTGGGTACTTAAGAGAAGTTTCAAGGAAATTTTGTCAAAAATACTTGGTTAAAGCCAAGATTCTGGCTGAATTTTCTGGCTCCCCATAGAAATTTCCAAATCAAATATTATAGTAGCCAGAAGTCTGTCCCTACTAATGATGATGCAATAGCACGTCTGGTCACTGCCCTGTCATGCATTATGCTTCCAGAATATTGGACAGAGGAAATGAGACAAATCAATGCAGTTTAGTTGAGAAAGAAGCTAAATGGTCAAAGTCGCATGTGGGATTTATTTACCAGGATAGGCTGTGAAGTGTCCTTTCTGAGTAATGAGACGACGAGCAGATGTCCTGGCTGCCTGAAGCCAGCCTTCCCCCAAAGTGCTCAGTGAGCTGCTATACACTGGGGAGAAAGGTTTGAGATCCTTTGGAAAATGTTGCTTTGAATAAATGAAACCTATTCACAAACGAATTTCCAAGAGCCTATAAATGTCAGTGTTTATTACACATATCGAATAGGAGGATGTGTCAGGCACAGTTTACCAAACTGTTGGATCATGGAATCTTTCTCACTCAAAACAGTTTTACTGAATACTATTTAGTAAACAATGATTTTGACCATCTCCCGCGTTGCCGGCAATGGACTAGATGATTTTTTCCAGGTTTCCTTGAATAGTGAGATTACAGGTAAAAATTCTTCAGTCATAGGTGATGAGCATGGTCTGTTATGGATTGGATTAAGTTCCCCCAGATATGTGTTGTAACCCCTATACTTGTGGGTGTGATTTTCTTTAGGAATAGAGCTTTCTTGGCTGTGTTAATGATGCCACATTAGGGTAAGTGTGTCTTAAGCCAATCACTTTCGAGCTATAAAAAGAGTAAGCACAGGGACAAGGAAGCACAGATAGTGGCCGACAGGTGTCACGCCACAAGCACATTGCCAAGCAACGGCGGAACAGCAGCTCAAAAGCAACTACTTCCTTTTCTCGGAGCCAGCAGAGAGAGGTAGCTTTCCCCTAGAGTTGGTGCCCTGAGCTCAAACTTACAGCTTCCTAACTGTGAGACAATAAACTACTGTGACAGCCATTTACTCGTGGTCGTTCTGTCTCAGCGGCTCTAAGAAGCTGAGGCATGGTCACAGTGAGACAAATTCATTTGGGGTGCTAGATCACGAAATGTTCAGGCAGGTGACAAAACTGCCATGTAGTGGAAAGAGCAGCTGACTGAGAGTCAGGGGAGAGAGAAGAAGGGCTACCATTTCTCCCACGAACTTTGTTGGCTTTAAGGAAGTACTATACAATATTTTAGCTCTAGTATCCTGACCCAAACATTGTAGATGATCTGGCTCCCTTTCTGAAGAGCTGCCGTGACCAGTAGAAGATGGTGTGTGTGATATGCACCGCGGGTGGCACAAATGGTTAAACCCTTGACCACCAGCCAAAGGTTGGTGGCATTCACCCATCAAGATGCACCTCAGGAGACAGATCTGGTTCTGAAGGTCACAATCTTGAGAAGTCTGTGGAACAGTCAACTCCGCACACATGGAGTTGGCGTGAGTGGGAACCAAATCAACAATGAATAGCAACATATTTATAAGAGGAATCTCTTGGCGGTGTGAATGGTTAAGTGCTCAGCTGCAGATCAGAACATAGGCAGTTTGAACCTACCCAGAGGCTTCTCAGGAAGAAGACCTGTTGATCTACTTCTGAAAGATCATAGTCCTCGAAAAACCCAATGCCACTCAGTGAAGTCCATGGGATTGCCGTGAGCTAAGCCAATCAAATCAATGACAACTGGTCATACAGATAAGCAAATAAATGTGAAGTGTGCAAAAAGTTACTAAAAAGAATGTGAAAATTTTATTTAGATTGGTTTCATCATTACATTGGTGCTTTCTTTGGAGAGAATAATTTTATTAAACAGTCCATCAGGATATTGTATAGAAAATACACACTAAGGTAATATATATACATTTCATAAAAATAGAATACATCTTGGCAATTGCTTCCAGAGTTTGTTACCACCATGTACAGTGTATTGACGTTTAACCTTTATGCTAATTTGAATGTGTGAGATTTTTCCAAGAAAAAAAAAACTGTCTCATTGATACTTCAAATTCTTCTCAATTGACAAAAAAAAAAAAAAAAAAAATCATTACAAAGTTGGAATGTAAAAGTTTTGGAGCTAAATAAATGAATGGTAGTTTATACCAGAATGCTGGCGGTAAGATGTGTGCTATGAATCTTGTCTTTAGACCAAATTGTATTTTCTCTACTGTAAATGATTGGGCTGCTTTCACGAAACCATTGGCAACAGTATCTTTCTTATGAACCCGCAATCAGGGGCCAAAACAATCCTTTTAGTGGCTGAACCACGAGCGGTGTTTCATATTGCCCTTAACTTGAAAATAGGTGTGTAAATCTGATTACAAAGTATTAATATCGCAAGAAGAAGCCACTTTCTAAGCTATTTAATAAGCTTTGGTTAGAACACATAACAACCAGTTTCATTAATCTCGAAAGGGTGAAAAAACCCACTTAATCTCTGACGTTGTTGGTTTGGTTAAGGAGAATCCACTCGGGCTGCTTTGTTGCCATGAAGTATTGCTGATGTCTCTTCTTGGATGCTCAGGACCATCTTTGGAAAGGAACTGCTCCAGTGTAATAAATAAAGAAAATAAGAAGGGAATGTTCTAGACCTTATTGCAGGACAGGACCACGGTGGGATAATGAAAACACCTCAGCAGTACCGAGGAGGGCCCACAGAGCAGAGCACAGCACCAGTTCCAAGTGGCCAAGATCGCAGCTGCTCGGGAGACAATAATCGGGAAGGGGACTTGAGGCCCAGGATTCATGCAGTTTAAACGTACAGATTAGGGCTTGCGAGCTTCTTAGTATGGATAGGCAGACACAGCTATATAGACAACGAATGTGGTCTGATACTCAATGGTCCCGTTTGCACTGTAGGATAAGGCTCGAACCCTCATGCGGTAGGTCTCGGGTTCTCGAAGTGGCCGTGTTGTATACACCACTCCTTTCAGGTTTTCATCCCTTAAGGCAAAGGGAACGGTCTGTTCCTCATTTGCCATGAGGAACGTTGTCCTGGGATGCATCACTCCATCCTGCGTGTAAGCAACCAGCCGGATTAAATCTTGATTGGCAGCGATTCCAAAGGGGAGGGAGACCAGCTTGTATTCCAAGGCGTATGGGCTCAGGGCACATTCCAGGTCATTGGGTGGACAGTTCTTGACGCAGAGCCTAAGGACACCAAACACATGAAAACGCAGAGTGAGCTGGCTTGAAAAGAACGCGAGACTGGATGCAGGTGCTCATGATCTATGACAAGTTTTAAGCATGAAACACAGGAGACAGCCTGACGCGAGAGCAGGGAGCTTCACCCCAGTTCTAACTCTCTAATGCAAGCCAGATGCCAGATGGCTGTGCACGGATGCTGGGCTAGAATCAAGTATCTATTGCCCGGCTCCTTTAGAATAAGAGTCTTGGAACCACAAGAGTAAGTATAGATACCACAAGAGGGTCTTTAAACTGGAATATCAGTGCTGAAAAGCATTTGCACATATACATAAATAAGGGTGTCTTAAAGAGAAGAATATTCTTTTTCTTAATTTAAAAAAATCACATTTTTCCCTGAAGGTTTTTTGTAAGTTGAACTAGGATAGGCTATAATGTTTGTTTTACTTTTTGGAATATAAAATAAGAATTCAGTTAAGATTTTGGGGGAAAACATGTCCCCTTGTGTTTGCCATCACTTTAGATTTAAAATACTGTCTTTTCTTTTGTTAGAACCCATATTGACTCATTGTGAATCATTATGACTGTAAAATTGCCTGCCAGACATCACTGGGAATGAAGAAAAAAAAATTGCACTAGAACCATTTGCTGAAGATATGAGCTCTTCATAGTATTTCTTTGAAGTTGCATAAGTCTATATTTCAATATGTCTTTCCCTCTTTTGAATCCCCTCAAATCCATAGCGAATGGGTTGTTGGTGGATGGTGGGCAGACTGGAATAAGCCCATGGCAAATTAGCTTGCTAGGTACCCCCCGAGGAAAACAAAGTATAAGCTCTAAGTAGCACTTGGTTTGAGACCCACCCTCCTGTTAGGGCCTGTCCAAGAGGAACCCCATCACTTGTTCTCAAGCACTCCTTTAACTTGAGACCTAGCCAACGTGCAGCATCGTTTTGTAAGGGAGGGAGGAGACGAAGGAGCAGTTTCTTCAGATCCCAGAGAAGACAGCATTCCAGACAGCAGGAAATGTAAGCAAGATGGCATGTGCCTGGGCAGACTGCTGACTCATCCTTGCTCGGCTCCATTCTCGGGTGGCGAGGTGAGTCATCACCGGCTCAGAAAAGGTGCTGCCTGAAGGGATCCAAGTGATGAAAACCCAAAAGTCCAGAAGCAACACAAATGGAGACTGGAAAATGAAAGCCAGGCTCTGTCACCCCACAAAGCTAGCTGCAGAGGCAGACAATGGGTGGAGGATGACATTCTGGGTAGACTGCCTGAGGAGACCCTGGCAGCCAAAAGTGAGGGCTTAGTTTGTGGTGCTTGCTGACGGATGGACTCATGTCTTGAAGGGCCACACTGTGACTGCATTTCATCCTGGGGCTATTGACTTCCTGTGAGGTCAATATGACTCCCAACAGGGTTTTCCAAGCAAAGAGACAGAGGAAGAAGGATTTTCAAAAGCATGTCTGGATGCCAAGACATGACGTACCCTGAAAGAGGGTCCCGTTGGTAGTTGGGTGGGCAGGGTGTATCGATGCACTGGTAGCTTCCTCTCGTATTGAAGCACATTCGATTTGGGCCACAGTGCACATTCTGCTCCAGACATTCGTCAACATCTAGCAACAGCACAAGAAACACGCAGCATTAGCAACACGTTCAGAGGTTTTCTGCATGTTAGACTAACATGCATTCGGTCTGCTCTCAACGATCTACAAAGGAACTCCGCGCTGGACCTGAGCTTTCCCACCTCTCAAGTAGAGTGATAATTATCCCCAACGCACTTTTCTGCAGATTGCAACCCATGTGAAAGAATGTGGAAAAATACCAGCTCTAAATGTAGAGGGCAAGCTACTACGAGTTTTCTTATATTTGGGACAAAGCGTGCAAGTCGGGCTTGTAAAGCAAACAGTACTCCAAATGTACTAAAAACAAGCTGAAAAATTAAAGGGCACTTGTGAATTCTCTTTACAATGTGAATAATTTCTCCCTAGAGTTTTGTTTTATAAGTTCAAATTGTTGAGTAGGGGGGACTGTTCAGAGAGACTATGAATAGGGTAGTGGAAATTAAATGAACTGAGTTATGAATTCAGGGGAGACTGTACAGGCCAGTCAGATCTTGTTAAGAGTGGGGGTGGGGGGTGGGGAGACAAAACAAACCAAATGTTAAAGCAGGACCCAGTGAATGAGCCTCGAACCACATCCAAGTTTGGAAAACGAACAAGGGGTGCAACTGAAACTGAATTGCAAAAGGTTCTTTCTGTTACTATGGTGATTAGATGCTCTTTTTAAGATAGTAGCAATATTATGGGGAAAAGTAAGCAAATAAAACAGTGTTTGCTTGTTTCTACACTATAACAAATAGAACAATTCCTAAACTACAAAAATTAAGAAACAACAAGATGTAATTAAAGGAATTTTCTGAAAACCATGTTTTTGAGCAGTAATCCTTAATCTGGGTGACATTTGAGCACAAGAGTATCAATGGACCCTTGAATTGGCATAGAAAATGGTTTGACATGAATGGTGGGTAGCTTTTACCAACGGGGGTCAGAGAGCTCCACACATTTTCAGGGATTCTGGCCATCCAAGTTTAAGAGTCACATTTTAGAGCAATTGTTTTCATAATGCATTGCTGATGGGGAATGGTGGTTTCCGGGTTCTATGAGGGCAAACAGTTCAGGGACTCGGTTCCCTATTTTCCTTTTGTAACTTCTTGCTAAACAGCAGTCTGCTGCCGGTAGTTCTCCCACTCCTGCCTCCTTGTCTCCGCTTTATGCACATCTTTGTTTTACGTAGGACTGGTTTCCACTCGCCCTGTGCTCTTCATGATTCCCACATGTAGGGAACTTCAATGAAAGATGAAAACGTTGGATTATATATGGAGAGTAACAGGCCTTATTTCATGACGGTTAAAAAAAGCAATAGTCTTAGTTCTCTGTTTTGCACTATATTTTCAAAACTTTTGGAATGAGTTAAATTCATTGTGAGCATTTTTAGAGATTGATTTTTAAAAAGTTAGGAAGTAACTACAAGTTTCACAAAATAATTTTTTGGGTTTAATAACATTTCAAAGCCAATTTGTTGCACATAACCACTTATAACATGCCTTCTTTAGTATTTGACTAAGCACAGATGCTAATGCATAGGAGGGAAAACACTGCAATTCAGTGGAGCCAAATAAATTCTCTGTTGATTTGAGCACTCAGGGTCAAATGTACATTTATCATGGAATTGTCTCCAAGACCAATGGGCACATGTAATGCTTTCATCTCGCAATCGTAGGTGACTTTGCAGCTATCGAATGGTATTTACCCTGGATTAGGGTTGCGGAGTTCTACTGTGAATTTAGAATTTGCTATATATAAAAAAGAAAATTCTGAAAAAAACTCTAACAGAAGATATGTGTGTTAGTCATGGACAATAGATGTTACATCTTACTTCTAAGTTAAATGCATTTTTGTGTTCAAAAATGAACAGATTGGGTTCCAAATATATTCTGTTTTCTATGGCAAACATGGACATGGTAATTATTTACTTAATCTGCACAAAATGAAAAGATAATTGAACTAGACTATGATGGAGTCACTTTTTAATAATATTTTATATCTGTTACTGACATAATGTGCTTTCTCTGACTAGTTTTTATAAAAGGACTAGTTCTCACATAGGAATAAAACACATTTGTATTTTAGTTCAGTCTTTTTTGTTGTCTCTGTGAGCCCATTGGCGTTAGGGTTTTATTTGCCTAGAGGTGCTTTATGTCCTTGACAGCATGAGCTGGATTCCCAGTGATTTGGAAAGCCCTCCAGGAAAATGTACAAGGAAATCAACTAGATTTTCTTCTTCCTATTATTAAAAAAGATTTAAATGTATATATCCTTTCTCATCCACGCTATCAGTAATGGTTGTCCGGAGACCAGAATGTGGGCACACATGAGATGTATACCAAGAACAGCTACTTTACCTAGATTTTCCTCAAGTAAATATGGATCTCTGACAAAATGTAAAAATACAATACGTAAAGTGTCTGGCTTGGATCCATGATCATGTTCAATTCCCAGAGAACCGCTTCCTTAAATATCTAGACTTGTGGGCCGAGGCTCTTCTTTGTCCTCTGCTTCCTGCTAGCCCCTCAGAGTTTACATATTATAGGCTCCCTCTGCTTGCTCTCATTATCCCTCACTGGTCTTAGTCGAAAGAAGTCAGGAGGGAGAATGGAGAAATCACGTCTCTGTTAATTGACAACGTGGTGATATCTGTTTTTTATTAAATATAGTGTAAGAAGTTATTATGTTTGAAATTATAGTATAGGCATTCTATAACAAATATTAGTGCTATAAGGAAAGAATCACAGAAAATCTGAAAACCTTTTATAGTAATAGTTTTAGAACATATGAATTCACTTAACCAGTGCTTCCGGATACCGAGTTTTAAAATAATTTAGGATAAACATCTTGAAGTACCTGTTTTATAGAAATTATATAATAATTTAGACTCTGGAAATAAGACACTCATTTCAAATTCAATGCCAATGTAGGGCATTTACATTTGGATTTAGATTTATGTGCATATACATGGTACAAACCCAGAACACCAAATTCACTGCCATTAAGTCAGTGTCGGCTCACAGTGACCCCGTAGGACAGGGAAGAGCTGCCCCCTGTGAGTTTCCGAAACTGTAACCTTATGGGAGTAGAAAATCCCATCTTTCTCTTGAGGGTGCACATGGTTTCGAATTGAGCACTTCTTAGATTGCAGTCCAACACATAACCACTAACTATGCCACCAGGGCGTATGAGAATCTTTACTTACACTTAGTCTACGTACTTAAACTCAGAATACGGGGCTTTCAGCTTTTCTTTCAAACTCCAGGACTGCCATTTTTGACGAGAACCTTTTCCCTTATTTGTCTGATTCGTTAAAAATTTCCCTTTATTAATGATAACATTTCTAGCACCAATGTATGAAGTTTTTGAAAAGTCTTATGTGACTGAAAGACAGTATTTTGTTCCTCATAAATGCCTCAAACACTTTCTAAAGCTATAAAAAGACTCCGAGTTATTCTTTTAGAGTAAGGCTTCTTTAGAGGGCATAATTGTTTTCTTTCATGTCGATTTAAAACCACAAAAATATGTAACCCATTTAAATCACAAACATTTCAAATGACACCTGTTTCTGATTTGTTCATGTTATTTTCCACTCTGTGAAGCACAACTGAAAACTGAAGAATGTTTTGAAGTGAATGAGTGGCAAGGGCAATTTAAAAATAAGCCGGAATTGAAATCCTCTAACAACCATCTGGTCCAATTCAACTCTTTTAAATCTGACTGGGAGATTTTGAAGGTAGGTTTGAGTTACTCTAAATGCCCTCATCTCTACCTTGCTTCCTTTCGGTCTGCCTGAATGGTAGCATAGAGTTAGTGTTGGGTACCGAGACTTCTTCAGCAGGACACCTGGATTGCAGAATTAAGGAAAGTTATCCAAGAAGGTCAAGGTCAAGGCTCTTATCTCACTCTGCTGCCAGAGTTCTAGAACTTTGGTGCACACAGCATCTTAGAAGACCCAAGGGGCTAATCTATACAAATGACACCTGGCGCTGGTTCTGACCTGAGCTTGATGGTTGGACATTGAGGCGCATGTAACACTGAGAATTTGCTTAACTATCTGTAGAAAGGGCACAAATTATTGCTCTAGACATACCTGTACTTCTGATTAAAACAAAAAACATTAACATTTGAAAATATAAGATATAATCTCCCTTCCTTCCTTCCTCCTCCCCTCCCTCCTTCCTTCCTTCCCTCCCTCCCTTCCTCCCTCCTTCCCTCCCTCCT